GGAGCACCTGCGATGCCAGGGCAGCGGGAAGCCCCGTGCGAGTTACAATACAGGAGGCTCACCGCCTGGGGAAAGCCCGCCAGCACTGCAGCACCACCGCCCCCCCCCACCCCCATAGTGCCTTCTCCTCCTCCCCCGCAGCCCCTCCCTGGTGAGCATCCGCGGTAGCCAAGAGGACCATGGTTTCTCATAGAACGTTGTCCATTCTATTGGATTTAAACACCCTTTGGAATACTTTCTCATACAGGCATTCCCATGACCTCGTCGTTGCCAACATAATAATGAGTCCTAAATATATCTCTCCCTTCTGATCCCCACACCTGAATATCCACCTCTCTCTTCTACATCTACAACTGGCTCTCTCACAGACCCTTAGAGTCCAGTATGGACCAAGTTTAATTCATCTCCCCACAATGCAAGGTATCATTCGAGCAGAGAAACAGAATCACTAGATGTGAAGGATAACAAGATATTTATTAGAGTTCTGTGACCTCATGGGTGGCAGTTACATAATCTCCTGTCAACTTGTGAAGGGGTGGAGTCTAGCCTGTCAATTAGGTCATAGCCAATCATGCCTCTGTGTGGGTCTGGCCTTCTCCTGAGGATTCTGGGAACTCCTGTCTCCCTCCCTGGAGATGGGACACATGCTCTCTCTGCTTTGTCTTCCTATTGACAAGCCACATGGAGCTAGGCTGATAGAGCTAGAGCCCTGGAGCTGGAGGAGCCAAATGGAGACGCACACCAGTGCCGAAATGCTTCCACTGCCACTGGGTCCACAAGACTTTCCACCCACTGGCCTCTGACCTTCCTGCATTCAGCATCATTGCATGTGTTGCATAAATCTGAAGAGGAATTTAGACTGGTATCAAGACATATGGGCTAAAGAGGACTTATCAACTTGATCTGGACTGGGCTGGGATGTTTTTATAATATACAATTGCTCTTTGATATAAAGCTCTTTCTTATACACATATGAGTGTCTATGAATTTATTTCTCTAGTCTAGCCAGACTAACATGTCATGAATCAAAAACATATAAGATTTAGTCACAAGTAAAAAGCCTTAGTCTTGAAAATTATCTTTAGACAATTTTTACGTAACTTTTCTTTGTTTTTATGATATAATATGGAGTTATAGAGAAGAATCAAGGCAATTATAGCAAAAGCGCAAACCCAGAGAAGAGCAGCAACAAATGCAGGTTCATGATAAGTCAACTACAGAGACTTTTAATTCACTTAAGACAGATCTAATGACTTGATTATGACTGTGTGTGAAGATATTAGTGGAAAATGAGCCCACACTGGAAAATTTAACAAATGAAATATTGTTTAATATTGATAATTTCTGGTTTGAGGGGCATTATCATTGGTTGATAGACATTATAGTCAATGTGAAAAACAGAAATTGTTTGATATGATTACAGCTGGCAATATAGTGTAACATATTCTTAATTAATTATATCATTGCATGCTAGCTCTTGGGATATTGTCATGGGGATTTCGTAAACCATTGTATTCTCAATGACTCCAGTTTGTGTTACTGTTTTTTAATCAAACATGACGTGCCATAATCATCTCTTTCCTCTTGTTAGCTCTCCCTAGGATCCCTCTTCTCATCTATTTTCACAGAATTTGGTCCTTCCACTTAATAAAGTTAGTCAATGTAGAATCAGAATTGCCATTGTTTTTCCCTAAATTGCCCCCAAAGCAACAAAAATTATCAGCCATGAAGTGGTAGTCACAGCTAAATCAGTGCTTTGGATGTTACAGTGAAACTTGTCAAAATAAAGTCTCTAGGTTCCATTGACAAGGAATTTTGATTGACGACTAGGAAATACAGTGTGGCAAATTGTAAACATTTATTCAGTTATAATAATCAGCTGAAATCGGGTCCATCTTGGTTAACATTGTTAATTAATCTTAAATTTTACATCATCCTTTAACACACCCTTTCAGGGTCATTGGGAAATGATAATAACCCCTTCAATTCGGAAAGGTGTTTATTGAATGCCTGCTGGTACTGCTCTTGGTTACCTCTGCAGAGGAGCAGATCATTCCTGCTCTCTGGCAGTTTTTTTTTTTTTCCATTCCTGCTCTCTGGCAGTTCCCTCTCTGTCCACCAATCTGCTTGACTCCAGGGAAGCCTTCAAAGGAGATGAAAGGAGCCTCTGACTCCTCCTTTAGACACGCAGAGTAGCCGGGCTGGCCCAGTAGAAGGGAGGATGCAGTGTTGCCAAAGCAAGAAGAGAGACTGCTATGCTTCTCTCCGGGGCCAGTGAGTTCCTAGCTCTGTGGCCCCAGACCTGCTACGCCCAGGCAAAGTCAGAGGTAGCGATAGAAATGATCACTTTGTGGGACACTTTCTTTGTCCCACAACTGTCCAGGGAATGGTGCAAAACTGGTTAGTATTTCTTTTCAATGTGTATAAGGTCCGCATGAGTTGAGGGACCATTTGATGGTAGCTAGCCACCCCTGTGTGCCAGACACTTTGGTAGACAATTCAAATACTTTATCACACTCAATGATGCCAGCATGCTGTGTCGTTGTTAGTGGCTAGGGACAGATTCTGACTCATGGTGGCCCCTTCTCTATCCTAGCAGAACTGTACTCCATAAGGTTTCCAATGACTGAGTGTGGGGAAGTAAATCAGTAGGTCTTCCTTCTGAAGTGCCTCTGGGTGGACTCAAGCCGCCAGCCTCTTAGCAGCTGAGGATGCTAACCATTTTCGTCACCCAGGCACTTTGGTAAATAATGGGAGTCGTTGCCCCATTCAATAGTGAAAGCAATCCTATGAGGGAGTTATAATTCTTACGTCTACTTTATAAATGTTTGAACTGTGTCAGAGATTCTAAGTGATTTCCCCAAGACAATGCTGGAATAGGATTCACTCTACCATCCTGAGGTACCACATAGGCTAAAAAGAAAAGTGATTCACAGAGAGGACTGCAGGGCCAGCCCCAGCTGAAGACATGACATCCCCTCCCTAGATGACCGTGCTACAGAGGACAGCTCTGAAGACGCAGTTCAGGGAGTGCAGCCAGTCTGACCCCCCCACATGGGGGCAAACCAAGAGGGGCATGCAACAGACCAGCAATGGGAGCAAAATCAGGAAGTCCCTGAGGAATGCAGATTGTAGACTTCTGACTCTCGGGGCAACACTTGGCATCTTATCTGAACTGGTTGGGGGTTACTCTCAAGGGGGCCACACTGCACTGAAAGTCTAAAGGTATAATGAGGTTGGTGGGGGAGGGGGCCACTAGACTGCTCCACCCCTCACTGCCAGAAGAGCAATGGCGTCTTGTCGGAGCATGCCTTTTGGTCATGAACACTGAGGACTAAAAGGGAATAAGTGCTGTTAGGTCAGTGGGTCTGGAATACGGAATCCAGGAAGAAAAGGAGATTGGACAGATGTATTATAACAGGGCCTGCTCACTATTTAACCAAGAGATGCTCATCAACTCTGGGTCAGGACACCAGTTAGACTTGGAACTATTTGTATGGTCTTTTTGTTTGCTTGTTTTTGTTTTTCCTTTTGGTGTCTATCTATATAAGATAGGCAGGATAAGAAATCCCAAGACAGCAACTATGGGACTGGTGGTTGGGAGGTGTGGGAGGGGGGTGGAGAGGAGGTGGGGGAGAGGAATGGTGAGCCAATAATGACAGGGAATAGCAAGGGATTTAAAATTGATGATGATGAGGGGGCTGTAGCTCTCCTGGTTGTGTTTGATCAATTGCAATGTATCTGAAAGGAATTACTGAGAGGTGAACTATGGGTAAACATGATAGAGAGGCAGAAGGAAAGAAGAAAGTAAAAATTATATATGCAGGTATAAATATTGATATGTAAATATATAAAGATAGGTGTACTTGTAGATATATAAAGGTATTTGTGTGTATATATAAAGATGTGTATGTATTATATATAAAGATATTTATATGTAAAGATTTGTGTATATATATAAAGTATATGTATATATATATTTACTATATATATATAGTAAATGCAACAAGGAAGCAGATGGACTTTGGGCCTCTACTTAAATCTTATGTCACTATAAGAGCGGTTTGTTCTAATAATGTGGTACTGTATGATACTCACCTTCCTGACACAATCACTGAAGATAAAATGGGTGCATAATTAAATGTGGTGAAGAAAGTTGATGGTGCCCAGCTATTAAGATACAGTGTCTGTGGTCTTAAAGACTTGAAGTTAAACAAGCAACCATCTAGCAGGTAAGCAACACAGCCCACATGGAAGAAGCACACCAGCTTGTGTGATCATGAGGTGTCGACAGGAATGAGTATCAGAAGTTTGAAAACAAGCAATCAAATTGATGTGAAGGAGCATAGACAAACCAGAGACCCAAAACCCACCTGTAAGATAATTGGACAATCCCTCACAGAAAGGCCACATGGAAAGGATGACATATCCAGGGTGCAGTACAGCACTGATGAAACTCATAACTATGCTCTAGTTCTTTAATATTTAGTCTCCTTAACGTTATGGTTTTAGTTTTACCTCATTAATCTTGTTAGACCTGATTATGTTCATTTGTATAATCAAAATCATTGGATGCATGAAAGCCAAGAAGGATAACCCTTTCAGAAACAGTAACAGGAATAATGATTCCCTGAGGGTACAGGAAGAGAGGCAGGGAAGGAGCGCGGAGGGAGAGCTGATAGCAATGATGACTGTATAACTCCACTCAAGGGGAACAAATAATAGAATTGTAGGTGAACAAATGTGTTTGATAGTGTAGCATATGGCAGAATAATAATAATAATATATAATAGTGGGGGTTCCTGGGGAATAAGGTGGGGAAGGGAGGGGATAAAGGGGAGCTGATATCAAAGACCTCAAGAAGAAAGAAAATGTTTTGTAACTGATGGTGGCAGCAATTGTACAATTATGCTTTATCTAATTGAATTATGGATTGTTATAATATCTGTAAGCACTCCCAATAAAGTAATTGATTAATTTTTTTCTTCTTTTTTTTTTTACAGAGGAGAGTGAGAAGGCAGTCCCTCACTACCACAATTTATGCAGACGAGTTTCCCGCATTTGGGGAAATCACAGGGGTTCGCACATCCGCAGTGCAATGGATAAGCCTCGCCCTGGGAAAACCACCTTCGTGATCATAGTATCTCTCCTGCCAGGTAAGTATTGATTAATTTTTAAGAAGAAAGAAAAGTGAAAATAAACTCCCACAGTGACAGCTCATTCATTCCTTGAACATGTGTTGAGCATGTCTTCTGTGACCTTGCATGAGGGCAACCCCTCTTCTGCCCACTGGACACCATCTCTTCTACTCACTCAAGGAAACCACCCCAGCAGTTGATGCCTCTCTCTTCTGCATCACCTGCTTTTTTCTCTCTCTATTAGATCAACTTAGAAACATGCTGGGTTTTCTTCCATCTTAAAACAACCAATCCCTCTCTACCTACCACCCTGTTTCAATGTTTCCCTTTAAAGCAAAGCTCTTCAAATGATTCTTACATTCTCATTGGCACTTGAGAATTCCAAGTAGTTTGTCTTTCTCTATACGAACCTGAGCTTTTAACTGATGCAAATGCCTCCATGGTTTTCTTTCTTTCTTTAACCCGGGGCGTTTCTTTGGCAGATTGAGCATTAGATTGTATTTTCACTTCAAACATGGCTTCTTTTTTCATTAAGTTAGAGCTTCACAATAATGGGACACGGAGGAAGGAAGATGAGAGTTTTGTTGGTTCGTTAGCCACTATGATAGTTACATAATCTGTTGTCAGTTTGAGACTTGGAGTTTAGCCTGTCAATCAGGTCACAGCTTGATGGTTCATTTGGAGGCACTAAGGAGATAAATAGCTCACTGGAGCCAGGACACATGTTCATTCCCTGTGAGACATTCCTGTTGACAAACCACATGGAAAGAGGCTGATGGAGCCAGAGCCCTGGAGCTGAGGAGTCTTGTGATAAGACCCATGTCAGCGCTGAGATGCTTCGACCAGCACTGGACCCACAAGACTTTCCACCCACTGGCCTGTGATCTTCCTGCATTGTGGCCTGTGATTGTCATAGCATGTGTTGTATAAGTCTGAAGAGGAATTTATAGACTGGTATCAGACATATGGGCTAATATCGGACTTACGGACATAGACTGGGCTGGGATATTCTCTTAATGTACAATTACTCTTTGATATAAAGCTCTTTCGTTCACACATATGAATGTCTATGAATTTGTTTCTCTAGTCAAACCAGAATAACAAACACAGCCACCATCTGCCACTTTGCCAGCATCCGTCAGCAGGGACAGCAGAACTGGGAGGATGACAAGATCAGCCTTAATCCGTGGTTAAGGTTTAACTTGAGGTTAAAAAGCACTTCAGGTGAAAAGTGCCCTCTTAGTGTCTGGCATCTGAGAAGTGTTCTTTTGCTCCAGCTAGAGGTGATTTGATGCCAGGTTCTCCTATAAAGTTTATGTAGAACTAATTTTCTGTAAATAAAATGAGGTTTGGAGCAGCATGCAGGGGATTGCTATGTAAAAGGACAGCCGAAACAGAGGGAGCACAAAGCAGGGTGAAGCACAGAAGATCATTCGGTGAATTGTCTTGGGTCCTTCTGTCATCTAGAGAATGCTTTTGTTATGAAAAGAGTTTCTCTCTTTCTGTGTGCCTTTCATGTTTGTGGGTCAGGTGTGCAGAGCTGCAGGAGGAAGACCAGCATTATTTGTGACCCTACCATAGTTCTTTTTGTATTACATGTTGTTTTTTTTTAATTCTACACTGAGCATAAATTTGGGAGTCTCTCGTTCAAAATTAACTTTTAAAAGGACGTTTTAAAATGATTCTTGTGAAAGCTAGTGTTCAGAAAGAAACCTGAAAGGATGCCTTACATAAACTTGAATCCCCAGTTGTTGACGTAGTATTCTCAAAACAGACTGGGAACAAACTCTCTAAAAGAAATTCAAGAGGATTTTTTTTTACATAAATGTAAACTATTGTGGGAAGAACTAAAGGGAGAGAGGGAAGGAGGGTTGGAGAGAAGAAAGGCGGAGGCAGCTCTTTCTTTGATATTATTGAAACCAGAAAGATCCTTATCAGTAGAAGAGGAATCTTTTAGAAGCAAACTACTGGGTGAAAACTTTCTTTTAAAAACTACCCCTATTCCACACCAACAATCAGCAAGCTATTGAATACTTTCCCTAACTTTGGATGGACACAAACTGTATTGGGGTAATTAAATATAGGCTAAAGAACGTCACTAACTAGACTACAGAGAGAATTCAAAATTCCCCTTAATTCCTAGGAAAAAGAGAGAGAAGCCAATGAAAAATGGCAAAATGATTAAGCAGGACCTTCACAAGAGTGGATATGCAAGTAGCCAATAAGCATCAATGCTTTACAACAGTACTTATGAGAAAACTATGAACTAAAAGCACAAGGAAATACCAAAACACACCCCCACCCCACCCCCAGAATTAAAGAGTGGGAGCATCGTAAAAGGGATTCTCCACCATTGCTGGTGGGAGTGTAATGTGGTACAACCACTTTGGAAAATCGTTTGGTATTTTCTACTCAAGCCCAACATAAGCATAGTCTATGACGCTGCAATACTATCCCTTCGTAGGTTTCAGCAAAAGCATATTTGTAGGAACCACAAGCATGCGCACGAATACTCACAGCTGCACAGTTCATAGCAATCCCAAACCAGAAACAATACATGCAAGCAATTTAAAGTATATTGAAGCAATGGAATACCACATAGGAATAAATTCTTGCTTTGCACAATTTCTTAGATCGCTGAATCTAAGAAACCAAATGTCAAACAAAGAATGCCTATTCATTTTCCATTTATGTAAAGTTCAACCACAGGGAAAAGTGTCTACAGCGGTAGAAGTCAAGATGGGGGTCGCTCTGGGGAGGGGGAGCATGAGTGAATGAGAAGGGGCTCAGGGGAGTCCTGGGAACCCACTGCCATCAAGTTGCTTCCAGCTCTGAGTGGCCCCACAGGACAGACTATAACTGCCTCTGTGGGTTTATGGGGCTGTAAAGCCTTATACGAGCAGAAAGCCTCATTTTCTTCCACAGAGCCACTGGTGGGTTCAAATAAATTGCTGATCTTGTGGTTAGAAGCCCGTAGATAACACATTATGCCACCACGGCTCCTAGGTGACTGAAAATTGTCCATTTTAATAATCAGAGGTTTGTTCCATTTGTAAAAGTTTGTAGACCTGAGAAGTGTAAAGGAGTGAATTTGTAAATGGACGCACAATGAGCCAGACAACCGTATGTGGCGGGTTTACTCTACGAACATAGCAGCTCTACATTATAGACAAAGTTCATTTCCATCTTCCTTCCAAAGTGCCTTTTGGTCATCTCCTGTATCACTTGTCTGAAATGTCCTCAGCTCCTCTCCCCTGGCTCTTCCCTGGTCCACTTCGCTCCCCTCCCCAAGATATTCCCTGCCCCAATTACAGCAGGTTTACTCAAAAGTTTCACTCCTTACAGCATACCTTCTACGAAAGAAGTCTATCTTTAAGCAGAATTGATACCTTAAAAGCTCGTTTTAGGAACAAATGGCATCACTTAATTCACGCCAGCACATAAGGCAACCCCTGACTCATAGGAAACATTTGATCAAGGTAAGGTGGGCTCATTATTGAGGCAATGAGAAGAGATTACGCAGGGCCCGGTGGTAAGAAGTTGAGCCTGGGCTCATGGAGAGAACAGGGGGAGTAGCCCTGGACACGAGACCTGCACAAGAAAGATGGCAAATGTGAGGACCATTGACTCCATCTTCCCACTTATTTCAGAGTCAGAAATAGAGAGGAACTCTGAAGCTTTGAGAGAAAAGATATTTTAATGGTTTTAACCAATGCAATCTATCAGCACCACCCCCCTTGCCAAAGCCCGGGTATAATATATAAGAAGATTCTCCCACCAGAGCGATGCGACCTGGGAGCCTGTTAGAACTAACTCTGAGCAGGATCCTCCGTCACATTGCAGGAGCAGTGTGTCCTCACCAATGGGAATGCCATCATCCCTATCGATCTCCTACCGTTCATGGGCCTCCCTTCCTCCTAATTAACCTCCATCGTTCTCTTTTCCTCGTCGCTGCCAGAAATAATTATAAAGAGAAATGGAAATGGCTTCATGAAAAACTCACTGGCCGAGGAATCCAAAGCCTGAGCTTTGCGCCTAGGTCTGCCGCGCTGAGTCAGGAAAGTCGACCTGCCGGGGCCTGGACTTCCTTATGAGGGATAGTCTCACATTCTCTAGTTCAGCCGGAGAGCTGCACCCAGTCGAAGGCTGCTACCCTCTCCAGCCAGTCGCCACTTGCAGGGGATACAGAACAAGCGTGCGCTCCAAAATATCTAACACTATGTCGTGGGCATTTCAAAGGGGATTGTGGGCAATCAACCTGGTGGCTAGTCAAAGAAGACCTCAGGGAGAAGCCAAGGGAAACCTTGACAGGGTGGTGAGCAGTCCTCCTGGCAGAGGTAGGCTTGCCGGGAGGGCTTTCCAGAGAGAATGAATGGCATATGCAAGTGCATGTGTGCATAACACAAGAGGGCATCTTTGGTATGCATTGATTAGCCCACCACTGCAGGTAGGTCTTATTATCCTCACTGTATAAGTGAAGAAATGCAAGCTCGGCGAGATAAGCCACTTCACAAAGTTATTCCTCTACCATTGCACCGTCCAATTTTGGAGTTAAGTCTCCAACTTCATGGTCCATGCTCTATCCTCTCGGCCTCAATTTATCATTTGAAATCATCATGAACGATCGACTTCATTAGAAGTATAATTTGAGTTTAATTGTAAAGCCTAACTTGTGATTTAAAGTCAGTTTCTTAATTTGTTCCGATCTTACTACTTTACTGGTTTTTTGGTTTTTGGTTTAATTAGAAGGACCTTTCAAACGACACTGCCGGGAGAAGTTGCATAATTATGTTTTCATTAATTTTGCTAAGCAAGGTTAAGGTCAGTGGTTGCAGAATTTGGTCTCAGAAGCAAAATCACTTAGAATGCAAGACTCGCTCAAAATAAGATGGATTCCCTCTAATGAGAACAAGACAGTTCCCTAACAATAACCATCCTGCTTCATTCAACAGTGGGGGACCAAGCACCTCAGACTGGTGATTGATTCCCATGGAGGATACTTGTGGAAGGCTGACTTGTGAAACCA